AAAGCGTGAATCTGACACATAGTCCAAAGGAATAATCAGGCTTAATAAGAGATCAACTATCTAACATGTGCCTTCTGGAAAAGCCCTGATTTCCAATATTCTGACTCATCCTCCCCATAACAACATAATAATGCTAACATATTAGTGTGTTATGATTCCCAAAATAATTAAGCTATGATATACAAATTTGTCAGATAATAAGTACTGAGTTGCCCATTGAAGTTGAGAAAGAATGTTTCTATAGACAAGGTAGTACTGACAGGAGCAAGGAGATTATGAAGAGGGGGAGGCTGCTGCCCTGCAAGGAGATGATGGTGATTTATTAATTATCCTCTCTACTTAAATGTAAGATTGAAAGAATCAGTATTCTTGCTACAAGGAGAAAAACCAAAAGACTGATTATTAATGGATTGTTTTGACTTCAGAATTTCTCCAAGGAGCGATGATGTATGTCAAAATCCAGAAGACCCAGAAGGGGAGGATGAAGATGTTCAGATGGAAAGAGCAAGAACAGCAAATGCTTTGAGTTCCACAAACTTCGATGAGGTGAAACTCACAAAAGTCATCAGTTCACCAAATAGCATAGATATTGTTATTAAGGTGGTGTCTTATGCTGGATTCTCTAGAGAAGCAAAATCAAGGAAGCTTGTGTGTGTGTATGCGTGTGTGTGCACAGAGAGAGAGAGGGATATTTATCTCAAAGAAATGGCTCACACAAAGTTATAGAGGCTGCCAAGTCCCAAGTCTGTGGGTCACATGTCAGACTGGAGGCTTTCTCTTGACTACTGACTCACGTAGCTGCAGGACCCAAGATCAGCAGGTAACACAGCAGGCTACTGGCTTTGGAGGCTGGTGACTCCAAGATTGGCAGGGAAGATGGCAGGCCTTTGGCTCACAGGCTGTGAAGGCAACAAGCCCAAGACTGGCAGACAATACAGCAGGCCACTGGTTCAAATCCAAGAACCAGAGGTCAGATGATGATGAGTCAGAAGAAGGATCCAGATTGAGCAAAAAGCCAGGGTGGTTTGCCAGAGCTCTTCCATATGTATTGGAAGCAGACCACACTCCAAAGGAAATGCCCTCTCAACTGATTGGCTGCTCAAAGCAGATCTCATCATGGAGGTGATTATATTATATCACATTTCATCATGGGGGATTACTACATCATAACTGCAAAACCACTTAGAATTGTGGCCTGGCCAAGCTGACACACAACCTTAACTATCAAAGGTGGCTAGACTACCAAATTAATTCTCAAATGATTCTGAGTTTTTCAAATCTACACAAATGAAAACCTACTTTATTTTAATAGGTTATCACCATCTTTACATCTAAACGAGAAGATTAAAGGTCAAATTAACTTCCTTTGTTTGTCTTAGGAAATAAGCAAACAAGCATAGAATGCAATTGAAATTGCAAAAAGCAAGAAAGAACTTGTGAATTTTAGAAAATGAGCAAAGTGCACTGTCCAAAATTGAAGGTCATGTCCAGTTCATGGCATGTGCTATTTTATGTTTGAGGATGATTCAGTACTTCTCCAACTCTCTTTGCTCCTGTTGTAAGGATATGCGCGAATTGTATAAAATAATATACCTGAGCAACTGCCTTCTTAGGAGAGGGAAATAACAGTCTCTTGTCTCCAAAAATAAGGGGTAGGACAGGAGAACAGCCAGTGAGTGCGTTACCTCATAGGCAGTCTCCTCTGATGCATGATTTGGGCAGTCAGGGACCAGCCAGTGGGAGAGTCGAGCTTTTCAGAAGATAATGGAGAGAATTAAGGTCTGACTTGATTTCTCATTTACAGAAGCCAGTCATCATTGCCAGCTGTCTACGCAAGGAGTATGCAGGGAAGAGGGAACGCTGCTTTTCCAAGAGGAAGAAGAAAATAGCCACAAGAAATGTCTCTTTCTGTGTTAGAAAAGGTTGGGCACGGTTGGCCCTTCCACTGTGGGCTCAGGGCCATCCTCAGACATTTATAGATATTGATGAGAATTACTCTCTAAACCACTTCTTGGTTCACATGTGTGAACCAATGTGCAGGATGACCTTGACAGTTCCTTTTGCATGATACGTTCCTAAATAAACTGAATCACCTCTCCCCGTGAGGAGGGACGTAGTCACATCTATGTTGAAATCATAAGTTCTCTACTAAAGTGAACCACTGCAACCATGGCATTTCTATGTAGTGAACACAGTTGATTTTCTAAGACTCATTATTTTTCATGAGAGAACTGACTGGAGGTAACACTAGCACATTCTGAAGTCTTGACCAGGAGGTGTCACTTTGCATGTCTATCACATGGTAGTTCAGAGATAGAGACAAGAGACAGAGTCTGACACCCTTGGCTTCCAAGAGTGGCTTTGTCACTTCACTCACACCCATGTAACCTTGGCAGGTAACCTCACCTCTGAGAGCTTCTGTCCCCAAATATGTAAGAAGAGATTGTGATCAAAACAACAACCTCTCCAGCTGATTGTGACAATTCAATGAGATACTATATATAAAGCACATAGCACAATGTGTGCCATGTAGTGAGACTTCAGACCGTGTTTTATTCTTAATTGTACTATCAAATCAATTAATTCCAAGTGTGATTTTTTTTTTTTTTTTTTCAGGTGAGGTTTTGGGATTATTAGGACACAATGGAGCTGGAAAAAGTACATCCATTAAGGTTATAACTGGAGACACACAACCAACTGCAGGACAGGTAGGTGAATTATGAGGGAAATATGTCATTGAGCAGGGCTCAAACGAAATTCGTAAGATGTTACAGTCATATGGAGCAAAAGTCATTAATCAATGACTGAAGTGAATGGAATATAAAAAGGAATAAATTCGCAAATTTTCACATTAATGCACACAAAAATTGATCACTGAAAGCTAATGGTTATTAACTATCTTGTGTCCTTCAAAGGCATTAAGGATGAATATTACATCCAGTGTCGAGCTAGAAATCTTTATCAGAATCCGTACAAATTCTGTTCGTACTCTCATAAGATACATGGAACAGTAATCACTACAAAAGGACATCAAGTTTGGTAAAGCAGAGGGCCAACAAAAAGGAGGGAGACCCTCAATGAGATGGAGTGACACGGTACCCACGACGGTGGACTCAAACGCATCACCAACCATGAAGATGGTGCAGGAGGGAGCACCATTTTGTTCTGTTAGACACGGGTTGCCAAGAGTCAGAGCTGACTTGATGGCATCTAACAACGTAACAACAAAACACATGCATTTTCATTTTCCATGAGCAATGGCCTCCAAGTATGTAACATTTTAATTTGGAATAGAACTGTTGAAAAAAAAAAGAAAAAAGAAATGCTCTTGTATACAGCTATGTTAGCTGGCCTTGGAAAAGTACTGCGGGATTGAAACCATACATTTTTGCACACTTCTACTCTTTCCTGGGAGTGTCCTCAGGAATGAGCTGCAAGGATGTGCAGTTAACCTTAATTGTACATGCAGTTGAATTGAGGGGGTGCCACTGAGGCCAGGTAAGCAGTAACAGAGCTTGGGTTTATCAAAGAGTGGGACTTTGTGGGATAAAGAGGAAAAAAATTTCCAAATTTTAAGAAAGAAGTAGAAAATCTTATGAAATTCTTCATAAAGTATGTTCCAGAGGAAGTGGAGTGCAGAATGTGGAACTGCACCTTGGGAAAGGGGTTGGTGATCAACCCAGGGATGGAAACGATAGCCAGCAATGTTGCTGACTAGAGAGGGAGGAGAACACATAAATTCCCAGCCTGCTGATGCTCTGGTCAGAACGGACATGCATGAAGGCAGCTTGTTCAGTCAAAACAGCTCAGCAAGACCTTCGCTCGACCCTCTATTTCAGTTGTTCCCTTCATTACACATTGAAGAAAAAACATAACTGTGCTTCTGCAAATTGGAATAATGTATTTTTTAAATATAAGCAAGATCTAAATTATAAAGCCACTATTTGGTGTTATGGAAACAGCTTCAATCAGATCAGCTGGGGTGATCTTTGTGAAGCATGCTGTTCTCCTGTGGAGATGGTTCTGGGACCTCTCCATGTACTGTGATGGAAGGGAACCTTCTCACCTTGTCCTGCAGGCTGTTGCAGGAGCTGACCTCTGCGTTTCTCAAGCCACACCTCTCTCCTTCTCCCCTTGCTCACTCAGCTCCATGACCCCTGCCTTTCCCTCAGGTCCAAGAACACAGCAAGCTTCATCTGACCCCAAGCCCTTTAGTCCCGCTGTTTGCTCTGCCTACAGCATCTTCCCTTTGCCATGGCTGGAGCTTCTCGCTCTTCTGCTGAAATAGCCGCTCAGCAGACAGGCTCCCTTGGACCATTTGCCTAAAGATCACTCCTCCTTATTCTCCACCCCAGCTTCCTGTATTCCCGTTAGATCACCACTTGTAGTCGATTTTTATTCTCTTTACTCACTTCTCTACTCATTTATTGCTTCTCTCAGGAAAAAGCTCCAGGTAACAAGGATGCTGGCTATCTTGTTCCTCATTGTATCCAAAGCACACAGCACAGTATTTGATGAAAGAATGAAGTTCAGCAGTAGGGGTTTAAATGAAGTTAATCTACATTCTGGAAGAAATTTGATATAAATTCCTAGCAAAACGGCAAGACACCAGTTCTGTTTGGTTTTCCAGCTTCGATTTGGTTGCTAACTGTACACACCCTTGTTTTCATGGATTTACTCTCTAACAACCTTTCTCCAAAAATGATTAACCAAAAATAAAAACAGAAAACCCAACAAGTTGCCACTGACTCGACTCTGACTGGTGGCCACCCCTCGTGCGTCAGAATAGAGCAGTCCTCTGTAGGGCGTTCGATAGGTAATTTTTCACTAGATCGTCAGGACTGTCTCAAACCTCCAACCACGTGGTTAGCAGCTGAGTGCATTAACCGTTTTCACTACTCGGGCCCCTCACCCCGCAACAATAATTATAAATTATTAAACTCTCTATTAAGCCCTGGAGTTTCTCTAGCTGTTCCATACAGATTACAGCCTAGAAAACCCTGTGGGGCAGTTCTCCTCTGTTACATGGGGTCACCATTAGTCAAAATTGACTCAATGGCACCCAACCACCACCACCACCAAGAGAACGTTGTCGCTGAAATAAATACACCGGGAAACAGGAGCGTGGGATCTGAAAGGAAACTTGTCCCTGCAGGTGCTACTACAAGGCAGCAGCGGAGGGGACTCCGTGGGGTTCCTGGGGTACTGTCCTCAGGAGAACACGCTGTGGCCTAACCTGACTGTGAGAGAGCACTTAGATGTGTACGCGGCCGTGAAAGGACTGAAGAGAGGAGACGCCGCGGCTGCCATTAGACGGTAGGGGAAGCTCTGTGCTGGGCAGGAGAGAGTCTGGGGGACGAGGACAACAGTACAAGGGAGGAGGTAGGGAGTGAGTTCACAGGAACTCACAAAGGGAGACTGGCCCAGGCCACACTGGTGAGATTTGCAACTAGAAACTGGTTTCCTGGATTTCGAAGTAAATTTTTTTTTTTTTTTCTCATATTGAACATGGAAAGAAAAAAAAGCAAGTATTCAGTGGTGAAATTGATCAGAAATACTAAAATTTAAATATATATAGGTATATACATGTGGTTTATACACACGTCATCTATCGATCTGTTGATCAATCTATAAAAGCAAACAGTTGCCATGAGTTGATCCTGACTCATGGCACCACCCTGGGTGTGTCAAAGTAGAACTGTGCCCCAGAGGGCTTTCCTAGGGCTTCCAGTGGCTAAGTTTTCACAAATAGATCACCATGCCTTTCTTCCAAGGAGCATCTGGGTGGATGGGAACCTCCAAGCTTCTGAGAGCAGCCACATATATTAAACATTTACACCACCCAGGGAATTAAAAATAAAAACTATATTAATTATGGACAACTATTTGGATGAATATCATGAACTGTACTTACGTTCTTTCAAAAGCAAAACCCTCTTCTCTGGAGGTGTGGGGGGAGGAGGTGTCCAAGGGCTGGTTGAAAGATGCCCTGGCATCTGTTCCCAGAACCTCATTTCTGAGCTGTTTCCCATGATCCTTGTGCTGCTGGCCCAGCCTCCCGTCAGCTTTCCTCACCGTCAAGAAGACAATAGGCTGTAAGGCCTGCTGTGTTTCTGTCAGGTTAGTGGAGGCGTTCAAGCTGCAGGACCAGCTGAAGGTGCCCGTGAAGACCTTATCAGAGGGTGTCAAGAGGAAGGTACGTGCAGGGCTTACTTAGGCCGCTCCACTCACTGCACACCGGACAGGGCTGAGGCCGCTCCTCTCGTCCCAGGTGTGTTTCGCGCTGAGCATCCTGGGAACCCCGGCGGTGGTGCTTCTGGACGAGCCGTCCACAGGCATGGACCCTGAGGGGCAGCAGCAGATATGGTGAGCAGCGTGACCACAGGCAGGGCCACCGCATACACCTGGTGGGACATTTGTGAATTGTTTGATCCTGTACAAATGATCCCTTAAATGTTTCTTACTGTGAAAAAAAAGCTATCACTACAATATCATTAGTAAAAACCAGTATTTAGTTTTTTAAAAAAACGAACGTCACTTCGAGTATTATAATTGCTCATTGGATATTTTTGGGCAGGGATGGTGCAGTAGTTTTGTCCCACAATCACATAGGTGTCAACAGTGAGCGTGAGAATATTTTAAGTTGTGGACGTGTGGGGGCCTCTAGGCACTGACATTTGTGTGTGTGTGCTGTATGTTTATTCTCTTCACACAGCCTTTTTATTAAGAGTCTTCTCCTGCTCAGCACCTCCCTTTCAATACAATCTTGTAATAGTTTCTCTCTCATATGCCCCTATCCTAACGCATCTTCAGCTTCACTGCCCTCACTTGGCATCCCCTTCCTCAGCCTGCCTGTCGCCAGATGACTCTTGCGTTGCTTAATCTTGTTCTTGTTCTTCTGGTTAGGTGCATCAAGTTGGTTCTGACTCATAGTGGCCCTCTGACCAACAGAATGAAAGCAAGCCCTGGCCGGTCCTCCGCCATCCTGTCTTTTCTGTGCTTGAGCCCATTGCTGCAGCCACCGTGTCACTCCATCTCATTGAGGGTCTTCCTCTTTGTCACTGAACAGGCATGACTTCCCTCCTGAGAACATGTCCAAAGTACATGATGCTATTTCACCAGCCTCTGTGCTTCTTCCAAGACAGATTTGTTTGTTCCTCTGGCAGTCCAGTGATATATTCAGTAGTCTTTGCCAACACCATCATTCAAAGGCATCAGTTTTTTTCTTTTCTAGTCTTCCTTACTCATTGTCCAGCTTTTACATGCACAAGAGGCAACTGAAGATACCATGGCTTGGGTCATGTGCACCCTGATCCTCAATGTAACATCTTTGCTTTTTAATACTTTAAATAAATCTTTTGCAGCAGATTTGTCCAATGCTTGATTCCCTAATTGCTGCTTCCATGAACACTGATTGTGGAGCCAAGTAAAATGAAATTCTTGACAGCTTCAATCTTTTCTCCATTTTTCATGATGTTGCTTATTGGTCCAGTTGTGAGGGTTTTTGTTTTCTTTATGTTGAGGTGTAATCCATCCTGAAGGCTTTGATCTTCTTCAGTGAGTGCTTCAAGTCTTCTTCACCTTCAGTAAGCAAGGCTGTGCCAGCTGCATATAGCAGGTTGTTGATGAGCTTTCCTCCAACCCTAATGTCATATTCTTCTTCATATAGTCCAGCTCCTCGGATTGTTTGCTCAGCAGACAGATTCAATGAGTATGGTGAAAGGAAACAACCCTGACACACACCTTTCCTGATTTTAAACCATGTAGTATATCCCCTTGTTCTGTGTGAATGACTGCTTCTTGGTCTCTGTACAGATTCTGCATGAGCATATTAAGTGTTCTGGAATTCCCACTGTTTGCAATGTTATCCATAATTTGTTGTGATCCACACAATTGAATGCCTTTGCATAGTCAGTCAGACACACGTAAACATCTCTCTGGTCTTCTCTACCTTCAGCCAAGACCCGTCTCACAGCAGCAGTAGTGTGCCCTTTGTAACACGCCCTTTTCTGATTCCGGCTTGAATTGTTGGCGGTTCCCTGTCGATGTGCTGCTGCCGCCATTTTTGAATCATCAGCAGCACAAGTTTACTTGTGTGTGATTTAATGATATTATTCGATAATTTCCACATTCCGTTTGATCACCTTTCTTTGGAATGGGCACAGATATGGTCACAGATGTTAACAATTTGCTAGTTGTTTCGCATTTGTGCCAGGTGAAAATTCATTTTCCCATCCTTTGTTGATTACTTAGAGGGCTTCCATTAATTGTAAATGTCCTTGTGGAAATTTAGGCAGGCGATCCGGGCCACCATCAGAAACACAGAGCGGGGCGCTCTCCTGACCACCCACTACATGGCCGAGGCCGAGGCTGTGTGTGACCGCGTGGCCATCATGGTGTCCGGGAGGCTCAGGTGGGTGCCCGCCCAGCACCTGCCCATGGTCACCAGGCAGCAGAACCAGGAGAATGTAGAGGAGTCACTGGGGCAGCCGATGCTACTGCTAAGTGAGGACCAGGAGGCCATGTTAGCAGCCAGTCACTGAATTTGATGCCTTGTTTCCCTTCTGCTGTGGCCTCTTCCTCCTCCTGCCCACAGATGCATCCGTTCCATCCAACACCTGAAGAGCAAGTTTGGCAAAGATTACCTGCTGGAGATGAAGGTGAGGACCCTGGCTCAGGTGGAGCCCCTCCACGCGGAGATCCTGAGGCTTTTCCCCCAGGCTGCTCGGCAGGAGAGGTAAATATGGCTGCTGGATTTGATTGATGGCAGATGTCTGCTTTTTCAGGGCGGTTACATTGATTTGTAATCATTTGTGACCACATTTAGCCAAAAAACAAGGATTAAAGAAAAACTAAAAGACAGAGATTATTTGTCAGATCCTCCAGACTGTAAACTAGAGAAGAAAACTGATTCAGAAGCTGATGTGTAGTGGGTTGTGGTCCTACTATGTACCAGTTACTGCCCGGGTCTTCTGCCAGCTTATTTAATCCTCACAGAGACTTTTCAAAGGAGACACTGTTATTTCAATGAAAACGAGATCACCTGAGAAGAGGGTAATGGGGGCCTGGCCCTCGCTAGGAAATTAATCAGTGGAATTATTGTCTTTATCAATAGGACTTTGACAGTTTAGGTCACATGGCAGAACTAACAAGCAGCAGAATCAAGATGTAAACCTAATTGTTTAACCCCAAATATGTGAGTATTTCCAGTCTTATGTGAATTCTGGTGGAGGGCACCATCCTTCAAAAAGTAATAAAGCAAAAATCAAAGACTGGCTTTGGAAAAAATGCTAGAATTTGCTGCAGAAGACATAGGAAGTAGGTGCTGGGGAGAAAACATAATAAAAAGAAGTCAAAATGACATGGTCGGATAATATTTCTTCAGTGGAGTAGAACAGAAAGTAATGCTGTAACTCGGTGTGCAGCCCATCGTGAATAGAAATCAATCATAGAAGTGCAGGGACTGCTCACTGGGGATGAGACTGATGGCCCCATAAATACATGAAATTGTAACTCCTGAAATGAAATCTCACTTTTCCTGTTTTGAAAATGATTAAAAGAAAAAAATTTATCCAAGAAAAAAATTATTTTAAAAAATGACTGTTGCTGAACATAATATAATGCTGTATTCATGCAGAGTTCCAATCTCCTAATCAGAGGACTAGTTATCCTGTATTACACCAGCAGTTTGAGGAGGATGGGAGAGGGGGAAGGAGCTCTGGTGACACAGTGGTTAAAGCACTGGTTAGCTAAAAGTTTAGTGGTTCAGACCCACCAGCCACCCCACTGTAAGATTTACAGTGTTGGAGATCCTACAAGGCAGTTCCACTGTCTTAAAGGATTCCTATAAGTTACAACTGACTCAATGGCGGTGGGTTGGATTTTTTGGTTCGTGGGAGAAAGTAGTATGAAATTTCCTGGAGAACAGACCTAGATTTCCACTCTAGTTGAGAAACTTTACGAAATTATACAATGTTACCCCCTTGTTACAGTATCATGTCCAGGATTAAGTGTTCACCTTAGAATGTAAGGTTGAAGGTGCCTTTAGCAAACCTCAATTTTCATCTGGGCTACATCTACCTTATTTTTCACATATAATGTGCTCATGTGAAGAACACACATAATGTGCACAGGAAACTAAGGTGCACAGGGAATTACATGATTTGCAAAAAAAAACAAACAAGCAAACGTGTAACATGTACCTTATTTGCCCAAAACTGTGGTCCTCAAGGAGTCCTGGATGTAGCAAACGATTCATGTGCTTGGCTGCTGACTGAAAAGTTGGAGGTTCGAGTCCACCCACAGGGCCTCAGAGAAAGGCCTGGTTATCTTCCAAAAAGAACATCAGCCATTGACAGCCCTGTGGAGCACAGTTGTAGTCTGACACATGCAGGGGTTCACCATGAGTTGGAGTCAGCTTGACGGCATACCTCTACTCACTCCCATCCACGGAGCCAGAGGTACTAACGTCCATGGGTTGCACCTCTCCCATCCTGCACCTCTCCTTTTGATTACTGCAGATTCAGTCAGTGCTTTTCACCAGCACCAAATGGGTTCTTATTTACAGAAATAAAGACCACAAAGGTGTTTGCAGTCAGCTCACCTCGGCTGTAGGTAGCATCAGCCTCACGCTGCTCTCCTTCCAGGTACTCCTCCCTGATGGTCTATAAATTGCCGGTGGACGATGTGCGACCTTTATCCCAGGCTTTCTTTAAATTGGAGAAGGGTAAGAACTGTAATTTGGAAAAGGTACTCTGGGAAGCAGATAATCCCAAATCAGAAAGTAATCCAGGTAACATGGCGAAATGTGACATAATGTGCTAAATTTAAAAGTTAAAAATGCAAATTGAACTTTAGAAGCTCAAAACCAAGGAGGCAGAGGGATTCTTTGTGTTTGTGTGCATGTGGGGAGGGGGGATGGAGTGATTTTACTATCGTTTTGTGAGTTCTTCCGTATATTTTTGTGTGTGAGTGACACACACACACAGGTAGAAAATGAATCAAACCTCAGTTACAATATTCCCTAAAGGAGAATGCCTTTGTTTAGAGCATTGTTGTTGTTGTAGGGACTGTCGAGTCGACTCTGACTCAGTGACTCTGACTCCTTGCAACCCTGTGGACAACAGAACGAAACACTGCCCAGTCCTGCATCATCCTCACAGCTGTTGCCATACTTGAGCCCATCACTGCAGCCACTGTGTCAACCCAGCTTATTGAGGGCCCTCCCCTTTCTCACTGACCCTCTACTTTACCCGGCATGATATTCTTCTCCAGGGAATGGTCCCTTCTGACAACATGACCACAGGATGTGAGACAAAGTCTGGCCATTCTTACTTCTAAGGAGTATTCTGGCACAGATACAAGCAAATGAAAAAATAAATAAAAAGGCATCAATTTTATGTTGTTGTTGTTGTTATATGCCGTCGAGTCGGACCCGACTCATAACGACCCCTTCTTGGGTTTCCAAGGCAGTATCACTATGGAAGTAGATTGCCCCATCTTCCTTCCGAGGAGTGGTGGTGGGTTTGAACCGCCAGCCTTCTGGTTAGCAGTCAAGTGCCTTAGCCACTATGCTACCAGAGCTCCCCAATTTTATGTAGACTTGTAGACTTGCATATTATTTTATTGCCTTAAGCTGTAGATTAAGAAACTGACCTCCTGTCTGGCCACTAAACCAATCTCTTGAACATGTTGCACTTCAAAATGAACTACCTGTCACCAGGCTCACATTTCCCTTGCCATCCCAGCCCATGAGCTCACTCATTAGTCTGAGCTCCGCTCCTGTACTATTTTCAGTGTCTCTGCTCAGTGGTGTCTTTGTGGCTTGTCATCTGCCCTAAGGAAGAGACTCCGGTCTCCTGGGTCTAGAAAAGGTCCTTCTGACTCCTGCTGATAGCACCTGTGGCCACAGTGATGCATCTTCTTCCCATTCTCTGCCTGAGCTGAGCACCTCAGTTTCCAGGTCATGTGTCCCCCAGATTGGCTCTGTGGCCAGTAGTGGCCAGAGACTGTTGGTGGCATATTTCCAGCGCTAGGTTCCTATCAGGGCTCTAACTGCCCCTCCCAGTCCATTCATAAGAAGCGTGTCAGCTAATTAGAGGAAGCTGTGATGGCTTCTAACAAGAAGCCTGGGAGGATACCAGCTCCCTAGAAAACCACAGATGAGTTTCTCTAGGATGCTCATGTGCAGGGACGAAGCCTCTTAGTATTGTTTCCTCCCTTAAATCCAGGTCTGAAATCCCACCCCCATGGAAGCATAACACAAGCACTTCTCCCCACTCCCTGACTTAAAGGAATGCATTGGTAAATTTTTAACTGAATAATGGTCTTAAACCACCAATGAGTATGACTTCGACCTGTTTATTTAAGATTTTCAACATTACTTGTATGCTGATTTATCAGACCACCTGGATATAAAAATACATGAGCTCTAACGTTAAGTCCACCCTTGTGCAGTTAAGCAGACCTTCGACCTGGAGGAGTACAGCCTGTCTCAGTGCACCCTGGAGCAGGTGGGTCATTTTCATTACTTTAACTCTGCCCTGGGACCGTAATGGCTGGATAAAGCATCTTCTTCCCACTCACTCAGAGCTACGGGAGGCTGTGTGACATCCTGCTTCCTGTTTCTTCCCCCTTCCAGGTTTTCCTGGAGCTCTCCAAGGAGCAGGAGCTGGATGGTTTTCAGGAAGAACTTGGTTCCTCCATGAAGTGGAAGCTCCTCCCCCAGGAAGAGCCTTAAAGCCCCCAACACCCACTGAGGCTGCTTAAGCCTGGGGTTGCTTTTTTAAGACATTTATTTTTTATATCATTAATATCCTATTTTTAGAAACCACATTATAAACACTGAAATGGTTCTCCATGATGCCATAATTATCCTGTTATTATTTTACACAGAAATACTGGAAAAGTTCTTGGTGGGTTGGGGGAGGAGTGCGTGCCAGGGAAATGTCGTGGGGTAGGGCCAGAGGCAGATGGCAGCCACACCTCCCAGCCACAGCTTCTGGGTCACTGCAGGTCACCTGGTTTCATACTTCTGTATAATACTGAATAAATAAATGCTCTTTTATAAGATTATTTAAGTCTCTGAGCCTCACAAATTTATTTTTAATCGAAACCTTAAAACACTCTTTTTTTCCTAACCATGAAAAAAAATATATAACCATCTATTTACTCGTCTGGAAGTTTAACAAATACTGAGTGAAGTTGGTATTTTAGTAAGACTTTGAGTGAGCATGTCACAGATGTAGCATATTTTTTAAAAATACACTGCAGTGTGTTTTCTCATGGCTGACTCGTTGCCATCAATTCAACTCTGACTCATGATGACCCCACGTAGATCTGAGTAGAACTGTGCCCCATTAGGTTTTCCTGAGTTTAAACTTTACAGAAGCAGATCTCCAGACTTTTCTTTCTTGGTGCTGATGGACAGGTTTGAATTGCCTCCTCTAGGTTAGCTGCTGAGCACGTTTGTTAACCATTCGCACTACCTGGGGGTGCCTTCTTACAGCTGAAAGTGCTAAAGTTCGTTAACCATAATGTCTGGCATCAATATATGTAATAACATACCCACCTAATGTAACACTATCAATGATGCAGACGCAGTCTGGGAAACAAAAACCTTGCTATAGAATTTACTGTCTTTTTTTTTTTAACTTCTGTAAGCCAGCTGAGTCCCATTTTCATCGGATTTTTAAATCTAGGCTTGGAGATGCCTGTCCTGTAACTGATCTTTAGTGGTCGTTTGCTTCTTGGTCTTAGGAAGCTGATAAAAGGGAATAAATGGTAACAGATCAGATAACCAAGTAGGTAGAAAGTGTAAAATAAAGCTCACATATGGCATATATGTAGTTTTGAAATGGTTTCTATTTCATATGTTGCATGTATTTTTTTTCTGGACTGAGTGGTCTCCTGTTGCCAGATCCCACTGATAACATAAACTGGTGAAGGTACAAATACTGGACTTTGAAGCCATCACAGTAGGTCCTTCAGTTAGACTGGCACTTTGGCTAGGACTTTGGACATTGGCCTGTTCCTTTTGTGTGCCAAGTATAATAATTACCAATTCCAGTTACTTCTGCCACCCCTTTTTGTGTTTACCACTATAAAACTAATTAACCAGCATGTAGGATAACACTTGAATTCCTGTTAGCTTGGATATAAGGTAACCTATCTGATTTATCTTTTGTATTATATAGAAAGATGTTGGGATTTGGAACCCTGGAAAGTCTAACTTAGGTTGTCTCTAGGTACATGATCATGAGAAAATTCCATGACCTTGGCAAGCCTTAGTTAATTCTGTTATTAAAACAAGTGTTCCCAGACACTGAACTCTCATTTTTAGATATGTCAATCAATGATCAGAGAGTAAATAACTTAGCCAAGTGCATACAGTTAGTAATTAGCCCATGCTGGTCTAATGTTAAACCCACAGTCATCCCACTACTCCAAGCTGCTTCAAACATTTGCTGAGTCCTGCATTGGGAAGGCAGTTTTTTCCCTTCAGCATTTTGTACGTTCTTCCAGCTCATCTTGTCGTTCCCATATATTCTTATGAGAATCAAGCCATTAATCTTAGCATTGTTCCTCTACGTGAAGCATGCCATTTTCTATGGCTTCTTTTGAGATTTTTATCTTTTTTTTTTTTTTTTAAATATTTTACTGTATTTTTGGTGAAAGCTTATACAGCAAATTAGGTTCCCATTTAACAATTTTCTACACAAATGGTTCAGTGACTTTGGTTACATTCTTCATACTGTGCCAACATTCTCACTGTTTCCATTCTGGTTGTTCTGTGTCCAGTAATCTAGTTTCCCTGCCTCCTTGCCTTCTCATCTTTGCTTTAGAGTAAATGTTGACCATGTGGTCTCATATAGGTGACTTTTTAAGGAGCACACCACCCATGGGTGATAGTTTTTCATTTTATGAGCCAATCTGTTATTTAGTTAAAAGGTGACCCCATAGAACAGTTTTTATTCAATGTTTGAAGATATCTCAAAAGACATTCTTTGTCCACTTCATGGGGGGAACACCCACAGGAGAGAAAGGATTAAGCAGACAAATTATACTGTTACCATCACATAATACAGAGGAAATAGTAAGATTTTGGTGTGGGAATCATTATTCATTTTATGAATTCAAGAATTTCCTTACTCATTCTGCTCAGAGAAAATTGTGTCCTGATCCTTTATACCCCGCCAAAAAAAATAGATGAGACATAAACTAAATAGAGATTCTAGAGTTGAGACCTTAACCATTAGGAGCCTGTATCTGGGTTCTAAGTGGACTCAAGGCTACACTCACTGATGAGGAATAACACCTGCATAACAAATACAAGTGCAAGGAATTCCGATGATCTTGGTTTTTATTTGAAATCTTATTCCCTTGGCTAGTTGGAGGGGAGCTCTGGTGGCATAGTGCCTAAGGCATTTGACTACTAACCAGGAAGGCTGGCAGTTCAAAGCCACCAGCTACTCCTCAGAAGGAAAAATGGGCAATCTACTTCCGTAAAGATACCGCCTCGGAAGCCTGAGGAAGGGTTGTGATGAGTCAAATCCGACTCCATGACAGTAAGTTTAGCTTGTTTGTTTGTTTGTTTTTTTGCTAGTTGGAGTGATCCTGAAATTAACAAGGGAAGACTCTAAAATGTGGAAGTTCAGAATCTGAGCATCTGCAATACAGGGAAATACACTATAAGGAGGGTGGAATGAATACTGAAATCCAAATGTTCAACTATAAAACTTACAAATAAATATCTGCGGTGCTGACCTTTCTTTTCAACCCCACTCATACATTCAACCACTTGCTTGATTTCTCCATTTGAATGTCTAATTGGCACCTCAGAGAAAATGTGTCCAAAATAGAACTCTTAACATACCCTTGGCCTTTCCCATCTCAGTAGACAATAACTCCCAACTGCCAGCTTAGGAGCCATCCTTGATTTCTGGCTTCCCTCCATCTCCTAAACTAATCCATTAACCAGTGCTGTTGACTCTATCCCAAGACAGATTCTAAATCCACCCGTATCTTTCCATCCCGTTTCCATCCTAGTTCAAGCTTCTATCCTTTCCCAGATGTCTGCATTAGCCTCCACACTGCTGTTCCTGCGTCCCATCTTGTATCTGTATTTCCTTTTTCACAAAGCAATGACATTGTTACCCATCACCCCTTTTAAAACCATCACTGTACTGAAATAAAGTTCAAACTATTCAGCCTACAGATTCTTATATGATGTGGCCTCTGCCCATCTCACTGAGAGTCTAGCCACATTAGCTTTCTGCCTCTTCCTTTAAAAGACAAAGACCACAGGATCTTTGCATTTGCTGTTCCCGCTGCCTAAAAGTACCCCCACACACCCCGATGTTCATATGCCTAGCTCCTGATTGCCTTGCAGGTCTCAACCTCAGAAATACCTCCCCTGGACCACCCAATCTAAAGTAGTTTCCCTCTCACTATTTGCTGAGTGTAATCTTTGTGAATGTGGGTCTTTTCTGTCTTGTTAACCATTATTTCCCAAGGGACTGGAACAGTATTTGTTCCACAACAGGTAACTACTAAATGGTTACCAAATTTATTAACTAAATACACCTCTGCTTCCCTCTGTTTGAACGCTTATTGTTGTGAACTGTAATCACCTGTCACTAAAATTTCTCCTCCATTAGACAGTTCTTTTATTTAGCAGAAGGGGCCATGTCTTATTTGTCCCAGTTCCAAATGCATAGTTGATGGTCAATGTCAAATGAGTGCACCAACTGGAAGAAAAGAACCAAAAGAGGAAGTGGAAGATCGTTAAAGACAAATCAACCTCCAGAATAAGGCACGTGGCTGACAATGATTTGAACATTGTTTGATCAAAGGGCTATGAACATGTAAGCAGTGGTCACTGATGCCTCTAGGAGTAGTTGTGAGTTTCTGGGATTCCAAGAATCTGGGAAATTGAACTATAAATGAAGAACACAAAATCAATGATGAGGGAGATTGGTTTACACTTTTTAAAATTGCAAGTTGGGTGGAAGTATCTGTAGCACATTAGTTTGCCATTCAACAATTTGTACACATTTTGTTTCATGACTTCAACTGGAATCCCCTCTATGTGTCAGCACTGTGCCCACTTCCTCCCTGGGTTCCCTATTTCCCGACTTCACTTTTTAATTCAAGTTCAAGATGAAAAATGCACAATGTTTAATATACCTTCTCTTTAATAAATATATACTACAAACTCCATATGTGCTGAGCACTAACAAAGTTACAGAAATACCAAAACAAAATGCTGTCAGGGAGGAGAGGGCAGAGACCTAATCAATCCAGCATCTTCTATCTGTCAGACACTCAGGTGACAACCTTCAAAGGTCTGATTATTACCACTTTACAGATGATGAAACTGAGCTGCAAACAGTTTGACCGAGTTAGGATCACATAGTTAACAGAGCTGGAATGAAATCAGATCTGATTCCCAAACCCATGGTCATTCCGGTGTATGAGGATGAAAATGAAGACGGTAAATGCAGTATCAGAGCTACTGTGGTAGCCCAGAAGATGGAGTAATTGACCCTTGGCTCTTCCTGGTAGAGAGTGTAAAGAATGAAGCCGAGAAAACTTCAGAGGGTGGGTATGGTAGTTAAGGTTGTGTGTCAGCTTGGCAGCTGGGTGTAGTAATTCCCCACAACGAGACTGGCAGGCAGTACACCAGATTGTTGGTTCACAGGCTGCGAAGGCAACAATCCCATGAATGGCAGGCCACTA